CCATGAAATTTTCGGAATCGACTCGAAATCGCATTTTCACCTTATTTTGAGAACGGATTTTTGATTTAGGCCTCCAAAAAAATTTGGCGGCCAAATTCCAAAATTTTTCGCCTTAGTATCCACATTTAAACAGATATAAAGCTATAACTTACAGAGAATATGTAGTTTAGGCTTACCTTTCATATAAAATAAGTTTCATTCAAAAATATTGATATTTGACCAATTTATGGGACGAAATCTACCAAATTTGGTGTGTATGCCCAAATATGGGCATATGGTTTTTTGGCTCATAACTCAGTCATTTTTTGTCCAATCTTGATGAAATTTCATATATAATGAGTTCAGGATACCACTAAATCTGAGTTTTGGGCATGTTCAGGGTATTTGGCTAAATTGGGCCGTATTTGGCTAAATTGGGCCTAATTTGGACCAAATATGGGTGTGCTGCCCCGCCGGCACCGTTTGGCGGTTGGGGTCCGGGACCCCCTCAAAAGTTCGGTCACTGGTCCTAGTTTGTTGGTCAACTGCTATCTCGAAATCAAGTTTCACAAAAAATATCCATTGGCCAATGCCCCCCCCCCACCCCCCCCCCCCCCCCCCCCCCCCCCCCCCCCCCCCCCCCCCCCCCCCCCCCCCTCCGTCTTCAATACTTCAAAAAATACCTATCACAACCGAAATATAGTCAGAACGATATACCGTTATTTAGACAGTATATAATAATACTAGAAAACCCGTGGTCACAGGGGGGAAGCTAATAGTATTTTTGTTAGTTAGTTTAAATCGTGTCAAAAAATATCCTACACAAGTACACAACTGAAGATACAGCCAATTATGTTGCTCTTACTAAACACAGCGTAATATCAACAAAACCGATCAAAATGATGTTAAAACAATCATTGCACGTGCGTGTAATAACTCTCGTTACCATGGTTACTACGCAAATTCATATTTTTCGTTTGATTTGCACGTGGGCGGTCGTACATTATTATACAGAAAAAATTCTTTGAATTATAATATAGAATATATCTCTATAATTATGTATATCAACCCCATTTTTATGTATATCAACCCCATTTTTGGGACTTTGGTCGCTTATACGGCCTAAGCGGTATACAAATAAAGCGCTATTATTATATCGGAGTATCGGGTCTCAATAAGAGGTCTCGACTGCCTAGGCATCAAACCTTGGCAATCGGTAATTTTCCTCTGGCCCGGAGTCAGCTGACCCTAGGGACCAGAGGATAAAGACGTAGAGACTGTGTGTATCTACAAAAGTGGATGTTTTTACAAGAGACAGGGCTTGCAATACAAGGGAAGAAAAATGGGCGAAACAATCATAAAGTATATATTTAATATTATATGAATTAGCAAATAGAGATTCAAACAATCCTACACTACAATAAATGTTTATTACACAGTTATAATTTGTTGTATAGACAAGAAACAGGGCTTACAGGGCAAGAGATTATTATTATTATTATCTCTACTATAATTCAGAGAATTCTTTCTGTACGACCGCCCAAGTGCAAATTCGGTAAAAAGCAAAATGTTGCAAAGTAACCATGGTAACGAGGGTTGTTTCACGCACGTGCACGTGCAAAGATTGTTAAAACGGCATATCGGATTTGTTGGTATTACGTTGTGTTTAGTGCGAGCAACATTTTAATCGGCTGAATCTTCGGTTGTGTAGGATATTTTGACGCGATTTAAACTTACTAACAAAAAAGTACTATTAGCTTCCTCCCTGTGACCACGGGTTTTCTAGTAATGTATAATGTAGAATGTAGAATGTACGACCGCCCACGTGCAAATTAGGTAATTTAAAGCAAAAGGTTGAACGCGCAAGTGCACGTGCAACGATTTACGAACGACATTTTGATCGGTTTTGTGGTAATTACGTTGTGTTTAGTGCGAGCTATATTTTAATCGGCTACGTATCTTCGGTTGTGACGGATATTTTTTGATGCGATTTAAACTTACTAACAAAGAATGCTATTAGCTTCCTCCCTGTGACCACGGGTTTTCTAGTCTTACTTATAATTCAAAGAATTATTTCTGTATGTACAATAATGTATAATGTACGACCGCCCACGTGCAAATTATATAGAAAATAAGAAGTTGCATAGTTACCATGGTAACAGTGTTGAACACACACGTGCACGTGCAAAGATTTGCGAGCGACATTTTGATCGACTTTGTAGTTATTACGTTGTGTGGAGTATGTTTTACATATTATCGGCTGTATCTTCGGTTGTGACGGATATTTTTTGATGCGATAAAAACTGATTACCAAAGAATACTACTAGCTTCAACCCTGTTACTACGGACTTTATAGTATATATATAATGTCTAAACAATTTAATTCATGCAAAAATATGATAAAATGTTGATATTATGGAGTGATCCAAATATTCGATCAAGAATGGTAATTGGTCATTGATAGGAGGAATTAAAAATCCCGTTTAGCTAGATGAGTACATCAACGAACTTGAATAGTCTTAACATGCGGTAGTAAAACATCACGTACCTTCTTATAAAACTCATTGGGTTCATCATCAGAACATATCAATATGATAGAACAATAAACCCTGGCTCTCGACAATCCCACATAAATATGAGCAAGTATGTTCATCAGGGAATGCTCAAAACTGTCAGATGAATGGGCTGTGTCTTGAGATTGTGGAGAAGACAAATCGACGATGAGAACGGCACAGGGGAACTCTATTGAAACAGCATACTTAACATAATCAGTAAAATTGATTTCCATATTGACGTTTTTCAGCTCTTCTAATTCAGCTGCTTCCTTTACTGTACTGTCAATTTTCTGACACCATGTCCCTCTTGCACCTGACATTGCCTCATTTAAAACAGAAACATGGTGATAAACTGGAATAACAGCAAGTTGGTAGTTATGAAGAGAAGCAGCTTCATACGATCGTTGTATCAGTTTCAGCTCCTTTCTAATAATTTTAGTCATCCTATCTTCCGCCAGATTTGATTCCTTCCCAAGGACACAATACAGTTTCGTGGTAAATCCTTGGATATAGTGATTGAAACCTTGGCGTGGTAGAATCTGCCGTAATTTGTCACGATTTTCTCCACTCATTTCGAGGAATTTTTCCATCAACTCTATGAGAAGGAGGGCTATGCCATGGTGATTCCTGAGATTTCCAGAGAGAGAAAGTTCTGTATGTTTAACAAAGAGATCAAAAAGATGGTTGAAAGTTTCCTTGTACAACTCACCTTTTCCCCAAAAACCAAATTGAACTGTTTGCATCAAATCACAACTGATCCACAGCGATCTAGGCTTCTGGTCGCTGTCACTTACGTCATTTGATAAGAGATCAAACAGGAAATCAGCCAGAGGCTGTATCGTTGCATTCGAATTTTCATGCTGTATCATTGAGTGTGCGAAACTGCTATGGAAATCATCACAAAATATGTGCCATTTTTTATCTTTAAGTGTTCCCAGAAAGCATTCATGCATTGAGCATAGAAGATCGTTACTAACAAAATCACGAAGGATGAAATTAGGTCGCACAAATATGACTACTTTTTCTGAGCATCCTTTCATCATATCAGAAAAGATAGCAGTGAGGTTAAGATCTCTTTTTTGTTTTCGAATATCACCTACAAGATCGATTTTCTTCATGGTTATAGAATCATTGAATTTTTTGACAATATCCATGAAACTTTCAGCAGCATCCTCCCAAGGTAGCAACACAAGGATCTGTTCATCTTCTCCCATGCAGTCCAACAGTTTTAGAATTCTAGCATACATCATTAAAGTCTTTCCAGAACCCGCAGGTCCATTCACAAAAATATAAGGTTTCTCAAAAATAATGGGATCCTCCTTTTGTAATTCGATGAGCTTGCTTTGTTCTTGAGTAATATACTGTATGCCATCAAGGTGGTCGGCAAAGATACGTTTATACGTCCTCTTGGGTACGGGCACTAGATTTTCAGATCGATTTTTCTCATTGAGGTAAAGTTCTTGGCGTTTCAATCTCTCATTGATGTCATTTATCGTGTAGCCTACTAGCTGACATTCATTAAAACTGTCTTTAAATCCACTGCAATTGTTTAGCCAAATACCAGTCAGTAGAACTTCGATATCCGATTCAGGCTGCCTCTCACCGCTGTCTGTTACATACCTGCTCAATATATTACTCAAGTTATGTCTTTCTTTTAAGTCTTTCTTCCACAAAATCGGAATGTCGCTGCGTTCAACGAAATCTTTTTCACTCTCAAGATCTTTTTCGTCTACACGTGGAAATGCACAAAATTTCAAGTAGCATGGTTTTTCATGGTTTTGGTTTGAAATTCCTTTCAGGAATATTCCAAATCTCTCCAGTTGATTGGCTGCAGCCTGGTATGCTTTCTTGTAGGGTGCAGATTTATAAGATTTCGGTCGTTTAACCTCGATACACACCACAACATTGTTCGGGAAAATTACTATAAAGTCATGCTCCCCCTCTTTTGCTTGTACTACATCACCCACAAAAGCCTTCCATTGATCACTAGAATATTTGAAGCTATGTAGTACGGTGATCTGTTGATTAAACATCCCAAGAGCTCGGTAAACATCACACTCCGCTTCGTAGTCAACACGACTTGAATCATAGGTTTTCTTCATTTTAGTTTTGAGATCTTTTTCAGTGTAATTGTCCACATGTTTCTGTTTTGGTGCTGGAGGTAGCATGAGTGGCTCAATGTCCATCAAAAGATTAACTTGGGAGTTGTACGACTCAAAGTATCGCTTACCAATATCAGCTAGGGTATGGAGAGTAGGAGAAGTAGAAGTCGCTGCAGATGAGGATGACATAGGTGCCTGTTCGTCGTCCATTCTGATATAGAAATTGGGGGTAAGAAACATTATACCATCTTAAAAAGTAATATTATGACGGTATACAATCGATAAAATTGACATAAAAAACACATTATTTTAATATACGGCCAAGGTTTCATCACCACTATTGGTCTATTGAACAAGTAATTATCATGATCACCCGACCGCAGATAAAAAACATCGATCTAATCGACTAGAATTTCATGTTAGAATTTCCACTAATTGTTAAATAACTCAGATTTTTGACATTCACAACTCAAAATAGATCAACATTATCGAATGAATTATATGTATTTAAATACACTGTAATATCGATATCACAAATCCCATTTGCAATAAAACTACCAGCTAAACTTAAAATTAAGTTTGCGAAAATTAAACTTAGAATTAGATAGTAGATACTGTAGTAGAAACTGTATTAATTAAAAAGAACTTTTGGTATTGTCATAATATTACATATTATATTTTGTTGATTATAATATTTTAACCAGGTGTAGCCAGTCTACAACCTGGCTCCATAATATATGAAGAATTTGTTTCACTTCTGGATGAAAAGCTCGAATACAATAGATTATTGTTACAAAAAATACGATTTAATTTCTCAACTAATGAAACATAAACTAGAAATATACAAAAACTACTGATGTAAACACAATAAAAGAATCTAAAAGTTTGATCTACTTCTGTAATAGTATTCACAGATCAAAATGAACATAACAATAATATACATTTAAGTGATTTAAACTCATCCGAATACAACATAACTACAAAAACTGCAAAAACTTGATCTTAAAATAATGATAAAAGTACAATATTAAGTCCTAGCTATATTTTTTGTTATCGAATAAAAGAGATTATTCGAAGATTTTAATCTCCCATAATGTATAAGGGTTACTCGTATGATAATGATATCCTATTTATGTCTCTCAAATTTTGTGAGTGTTATTTGAAGGATCTGTTAACGACTTCGTCATAGGAAGGAGCAGAATCGATAGGAGCGGCGGATCCAACTGCATCATCGTAGCTGGGTGGAGGGGGTAGGTTATCCGAACCTCCCACATCATAGCTCGGTCCTGGGAATAGTAATTGTAAGTTTAACTGTAAAATTAGTACATGAGATACAGCTGATTCGAAGTCCCCCTTACTTCAGGGCGGTGCAGCCTTTAACATTTTAACAAAAAAAAGGACGGTTAAATATTAACCTAACTGTAGAAAATTCACCTAAAATTATAACTATTTTAATAGGAGATAAAATGAGTTGTACCAGATTCTGGAACATCAAAGGTGACTCTTCCTGAAGGTTGAGATGACGGTGCTGTAAATTGAAGAGATGATCTCCTAGTTGAGTTGTAAGGACTAGTGCTAAGATATCCTTCAGAGAGGACTACAGTGCCTGACGAGACCACGCTACCTCTTCTTGAAGATCTTTCATCATCAGTCATCTCAATGTCATTATCGTTGTCATTTCCACTTTTTGGTTTTAAACATTGGCAGGTCAGGGCAGATTTCAGACAACTACCACAGCTGTCCACCACATCAGTACTGAACGGTTACATGGATTACGCAAAAGTTATCGCAATCCCCCAAAAGTTGGGAGCTTAATAGTACTTGGATAGAATTTCAAATTTTACAAAATCACAATAACAAGGTGTGTGTTAATGATATGTAAAATTCCAATCTCGTTTAAAAAGGATCTAAATATGAACAAACCATCCACGGGGTAAGCATTCTGAAATTATTTCCCAAAGACACGCTACAATTCCGACTGTTAAGAGGATAGGCAACATCAACAATCCTCCCACAAAGTTCCTGGTAAGAGAATGACTGTAATCTCTCAAAATAATGTTGAATTTAGATTTTCCCTAAATTTTATTGAAATGCTTCAAAATTTCATATAGATTTAGAGGTGAGGCATATTTTTTTCCAGTACGTGACAGTGATTCTGGTGTTTGATTGGTGCAAGCTGATTGGTTTAATGCTGTCACGTGTCAAAAAATATGCCTCACCTCCCCAACAGAATTAACATCTATGTATTCCTGTAGTCAAATATACTAACCAAAGACTGATATGATTCTTTTAAAAAATGGAAATTGCAAGCACTTACTTTTGATCGTCTGATCCACAAATAAATGAACATAATAAAGTGAATAGGAAGACTACCCCAGGTATTATTAAGGATATGTAAACCAGTATGATAGAGTACTGAAAAAAGGTGTTGTTAGAAAATATTGTATAATATATAACTGAGAAAAGCGATTAGCACGTTACTACCAAAGAGAAGCTTTTAAACTTAGCAGCTGTTGATTTTTAGTTATTGAGTTTGTTGCCAGCCCCTTTAACCCCTGGTCACTTGGTTGGAAAATTGGTTAGTTGAACTTTAAAAGTAAAAAGCGTCTTGACATCAATGGGTACATGAACAATGGTAATTGAAATATTACCTCATGGTCGAAGTACATTGTGTCTTCATAGCCCCAACAGGGGAAACTAATGTTATTAGTGTAGTTGTAGAATGTAGAGTTGAGTTGATGATACCAAGAGTTAGGGTAGCGCGAAGAGGGGTAGCGCGAATCACCTGTTAAAGCATATCATAATTTTAAAACTGCAAGATAATAATTTTAGCTCAAAAGCGCTTCTCAATACTCAATACAGTAAATCTGCTCCCTAATTTATCGCAAACCCTGATTTACTGCGGCCATTTTTTACAAATCGAGGGCTTTACTTCTTTACATCCACTAGCAGAAACCCAACCAACCCTAAATGTGGTGGTTTATTTGAAATTGGTTTAATATGGAATTAAAGTTATTGTGTAATAAAGTATTTTGTTTTACAGGTATTGTACATACAAACAAGGAGTTTCATTTGGTATCTAACACTAAATTGGTGTCAAGAGACAACACTATTTATTTATTTGGCTATTATAAATCAAGAGGCTTGCATATAATGAAAATATTGACACGGGTGCAGAGTTGAGTCTGTACGGAACCTAGTAGTTTCAGTTCCTTGTTTAACTTGCCGTACAGCAAGGACATCCACTACTTTAGCCCGAGGAGGCACATAGCTCACTCTACAACTCCGTGTCAAATGTTTCATTATATATACTAGCCAAGTTCACAAGATATATCCTTGTGTTTGAGAAGCGCTCGTTAGAACTGCTTCCTTTCCCTTCAGTATCCCACAGTCTCTCGAGTTTCGTAACTGCCAGAGAGCTCTCTTAAACAATTACTAGACCCGGTGATTATAAATCAAGAGGCTTGCATATATAATGAAAATATTGACACGGGTGCAGAGTTGAGTTATGACAACAATTGAAAAAGGTCACTTAGGGTACTGTATCACATTATTAACCAATCAATTTTGCCAACAAGATCATGGGTAGAAAAAACCTTAACCTAATAACTTTGTTGCCTGTACATGAGCAATTATTACTGCACAAATTTTGTGTGAAAAAATCCAATCTGCACATATTTTTTTGACACAACCCATTGCAAACCCCGATTTACTGCGGATGTTTCCTACCCTAGCTGTTTCCTTTCCCGAAACTGTTATATTGAAATAGTTCTTATTATTTCCATGGTGTATCCTCTAATATCAACTAATTTGTCCAATTTTAGGGAGGGGCTCCGAAAGGGGAGGAGCCGCCAACAGGGTGTGGGGCGCTTTTTCAGCGAGGGGGCGCTAACAGGCAACGTTACGCCACTGAAACTCCACGAGTGTTACTGTATATAATATATGCTATCTGAGATCTCTTGAAGTTGCTTGAACTGTAGTCAAATATATTTGTTAAGTTTTTATATCCATTTGAATAACATTACTTGGTACTTTTGGTTTTTATAGATATGGTTAGCATATATGCTAACCATATCTATAAAAACCAAAAGTACCAAGTAATGTTATTCAAATGGATATAAAAACTTAACGACTGGATTGACCTGTTATGGGAGAAACATGTTCTGTGAAATAGTTGTAAACTTCACGATCGTTTTCGGTGAACGTCTTCTTACAGTCTGGAATATAGAGGCACTGAAACAAATACCTATAAACATACATTTTTAATGTGACACTCAATTCTACATTTCATGTCACAACTTCATGATTACTGATGAATAAACCATGCTTTGATTAATTAAAATCTGATGCACAATAAATGATGATATATCATCACTTTTTCGTACTTTGCAACAAAATATGCAACATGGTTTAATAATACCTTTTTTGTCAGTGCTGTGAAGTCGCTATGAAAAGTGCCTGCTACTGGTACAGATGAGTTAGTTGAAGTGTCATTGCTCCAGTAATAACCCTGAAATTCATGTTCTTAATAATACAGATGGTATTTTCTTATACCATTTGTATTAGAATGGTCTATCAGTCTGACTTCTGAAAGAAGTCAGACTGATCATAAGTGAAGTGCATACAATGAAACAATAAGTTTTCAATGAAACAATAAGTTTTATTTTACATTCCTTTCATAAATAAAATAAGAGCTTAAAACACGAATTAGTTAACTAGAAGTAAACTTGAGGAAATATTTTTTAGTGGTTGTATATAGTTATTTAAAAACTTTATTTGTTAGTATTTTTATTATGGAAAGTGGTTGAATTTAGTGAGACAAGGTCAGTTTCTCTATTGTCTCAGAAAAATTTCTACTTTACAGTAGGCAATGCTGAGTGGCAGGAATGACGGACCAAAACGCTTGGGGCTAACAATGGCCCATTTACAAACCACTTCAGACATGGCAATGATGTCATTTTAAATGCTTAATTCGTCTGAAACTGACCCTACTGCACTTCTAACATTCTATAAAAATCTCTTCTAAAATAGGTATAAAAATGCATAACACAAAACACACAAACAAAATGTTTATAATCCTTCCATAATAAATTTCTATAGAACTTTTAAATTTCTATAAAACTAATAAACCTATATTATATATTCATTTTGCACCCAGAGAAAGATGTGATCACAGAGGTAGTTTCGATGTTATGTTCATGACAAGGTATGGGGCTGCTGCAAGTTATATTTTGCTAAGAAATTACCGCTTTTTCAAGCTTAATCTAGGCAAGGTCAATTTTAAAGTTTTTGAATTTTGCCGAACGCTGTTTAAGGCTAATACAAAGCTTCTAATAACTAATAAATAAAGGTTCTAATAATTTAATAAAACGGATGAAATAAAGGAAACATACCCTGAGAGTCAAACAAGGATACTCTTCAGAACAGCCTTTACCACATGAACAAGTTGGTAGGTCATTCCACAAGGAAATTGTTTCCACAGAGGTTATGTTGCATGTACGCTCCTTGAATTTGATGCCGTGGAGATTAGGCTTAGCAATGTAGAATCCAGCACAAAGCCAACCAATTCCACTTGCAAACAGGAGGAAACTTAGAAAATCATCGACATTTGCCATAAAATCTGGAGGAAATAAAATAAAGTAGTCATAAATATTTCAAACTTGGATATGAATAACATTGAAAAATATAATTGAATAGGCGTGTACCAATGGCGTAACAAAGTGCCCCACTGGCCCCCGCTGTGCAAGGGGGGGGCGCCATCTTGGGGGGTACCACCTAAGGGGGTGCGCCAAATTATCATTTGAATGTGCAGGGTTATTTTGGGAAATATAACTAAAGTACTAGCATTATTGCTCTAGAAACACAGTTCTTAACAGATTTTACCGGCATATCCTCTAAAATTAACTAATCTGAACAATCCTTTTGGGCACCAATATGCAATAATATTAGATCCATAGCAAAATTTAAAGACACTTGGTGATTGGAACTACTTTACATAAATGATATCTCTAATATAGCTCTAGCTTGGGATCGTTTGTCACCTTTGCGGATGACACCAACATATTTGTTGTTGGTAAAACTGCACAAGAAGCATATGAACGCAGCAACGCCCTACTTTCAAACCTTCAAACATACATGCGGGCTAACAAGCTTCACATAAACATGTCAAAATGCTGCTACATTCACTTTAGACCTAAGTCACGTACTGAAGCAAACGTTGAAGAAGAATTCATAATGAATATAGACAACTACCCCATCAAAAGAGTAACGTCAGCTAGATTTTTAGGAGTCGTCATTGACGAAAATCTAACATGGGAAGAACATATAATAGCCCTAAAACGAAAGCTTAACCATGCCACCTCAACTCTGTGTCGTCTACGCTGCTCCCTCCCAGAATTTCTCCACAGACAGTTATACTACACTCTTTTTGAATCCCATCTGTCGTACTGCATATCAGCATGGATAGAACGATGCGTCAATTCCGTTCATAGAAAAGAGATTTTCGTATTAAGAACTTTGATAGTTATTAGCTAATAGTTAGACTGTATTAATTCTATCGGACGTTTTGTACAAGTATTATATCTCTCAGATCTCACGCTCAGCGTGGAAGGCAGTCATTTTAGCCACTAGCCTGTTTTACAGCGGATGTTTTTCCCGCGTTAACAGAGATTTAATCCACTTGTACCACGTGACTCGCCGAATATGGAATAATCGTTAACTGCTTTTAGTTATCTGCTTTTATGACAGTGGACATGACACGTATTAGAATTTTTTAGGTTTGAGCCGCGCAATTTTTTTCAAAACTCATAGAAAGTATCTTTTTTGTTTAGCGCGCACGACACGTTTTTGTGCAGCGTGTGGGATTAGAATATTTTTAACTTAACATTTTTTCTAGAGTTTATTTCCTAATTTTAACTCGGATAGTCGGATACTATTTTTTAACAAAGAAAGTATAGGGAGTTATGACTTTAAGATTGTAAAAGTCATGAGTTAAATTATTAGTAAGTACTTTTTCTTTTTTAAAGTAGGGGGAATGTTAGAATCTTAATTCTATTTGTAGCTTGTTTTTGTACTTCATATTACTAACCCTGTATCTCACTTTAGCAAAGGTTTAGTTCCAGTGATTGTATATACAGTGTTGGGGTAAAGGGACTCCAGAAGGCAGACAAGGCTCGACTCCAGACTCTAGTTGAAGTAACAGAAGAGAGAGGAGTGTCCAGTGTTTAGTTGACTCCAGACTCTAGCGTAGCAGAAGGGAGAGGAGTGACGTTGTCGACTCCAGACTCTAGCGTAGCAGAAGGGAGAGGAGTGACGTTGTTTTAGTGATCCCACAGATTCCAGTCGACAGATACTATCTGTGTTCTGTGACGTGGAAAGAGTGGTAAGTAGTTTATAGTTATAGTTTAGTAGTTTAGTCTAGGAGTTCCCGCTTCCTCTTTCACTTTCATTTATAGTTTCACGTGGATTACCTTTCACTTTACTCACGGTAGTTTTCCCCCAGGGTTTTTTTATTATAGTTATCAGTTCCAGTTTAGTTGAAGTCCTTATCATTCAGAAGTCCCTCATATAGTAAGAAGAACATCATCATCAGAGTAGTAGTTTTAATTTAATAGTTGTTTAATCTAATAGTAAAAAGACATTATTTAGTTTAGTATTGATTTGTGTATTAGTTAGAGCAGTGTGAGTAACTGAGTCACACCAATCACCTTTTAATCACTCATTCACTATTTGAGGGTGAGTACATAGAGTAACAAGGTTACATTTGAAACACCATTTATTTGTATAACCTCTTTATTCATCTAATTTGTATTTATAATAATTGAGTATTATTTGTTATTTAATTAACCCAAGAACAGGGTTCCAACAGGGGCAGCTAAAAATCGTATAAGCTCAATATTCACTGCACAGAAGTACTGTCTGAGGGTCTTGTTTGGTGATAGAGCAGCCTACCTGGATAAATTCAAAACGTGTGTTCGAACCAGACCATTTACTGACCAGAAACTTGATAGTAAATTTTATAAAAAGGAGCACACTAAACCTCTGTTTAAAAACAACGAGATACTCACTGTACAAAATCTTTATACTTACCATAGCTACATAGAATTATTCAAGATCATGAAGTTTTCTACTCCTATGTCTATGTACGAAGAGTATTCTCGTTCTTCCAGGAAACCAATGCTTATTATCAATAAACCGGATCCCCCAGACAACCATAACACGAGGTCAACGAAAATAAAAAATATGGAATATAATAACCCCTAACCTTAAAATCTTTGATTGTTCTGTTAGTATTTCTTGCCTGAAATCCAAACTGAAATCTTCACTACTTTCCAACCAGCATTGTCATGCCGTGTATGACTGGACAAATAAAGACTTTGATATTTGTAACCTTAAATTTTCGTAGGCTCCTGCAGGGATTCCACCTGACCTCCAAAATTTCATGACCAAATCGACTTACTCTGCCAGCGTATTCCTCTGTCAAGTTAAATGTGATGTGTGAGTGAGTAAGTGTAGTGTAAAGAGATCCTATTTTTGTATCCAATTTGAATTCTAATAAAGACCCTAAGCATTATGATCAAATTTTTAGTACAATAGTTATATCAGGGTTGACTTCTATGATTAATATTATAACCCAATATTCATTTCTTTTTCTCCCTTAAATTTAAACCCCCACTTAGACATTTAGCCATGATTTAGTATTGAACACCCAAAATACTTACCGTCCTTAATAATCGTAAAGACCATTTGTTACAAAATAGCTGCTAGAATAATGCATGCCAAATATTCCCTCTTACACCCACAAATTATAATGCCTTCCCATCAACGCCTCTAATTTGGTCACTAATCAACCAGACTAGCGTTCTGGTGTGTACAAAAGCTACCAGCCAGTACATTCCTTGCCCCGCTAGTTGATTGTCAAAAAATCATACAGCTCAGAACAAACGGCCATTTACCACTAAGAGCATTATATGTTTTCATTTGTTTAAATTTTATGCTGTAAAATTGTGCTAAAACTTTGATTATTTGTTTAATTGATTATTTGTTTAATTGGAAAGTTAGCGTGATTCAGGGCTTCTAATTAGATGGTGTAGTGGTAGCTTCATTGTGGGTATGTGGCTGAAGGGACAGATTATTGTTTTCTTGAGTATCACTTAGTCTAGGGCGATAACTAAGGATCCATCAGATCTATGCAAAGTTACACTATTGTGTAAAGGTCTCCTCAGTCAACTCTTGGTGATTTAGGGCCAAAAGATCAAGATACTCCTTCAGTACATTTATATTGAAGTGAAGTCCTTCTTGGGTGTTTAGTTCACTGCTGTTATTATCTCCATTTGTTTTTGACCATCTAAGGTTTTAGTTTCAATGTACTTAAGATGTAATGATTAATATGTTCATCACAATATAACATCGTCATATATCAAGAAAACAAAAATAACTAGCACAAACTTTAGACCATATATCTTAGAGGACTTGGAGTAGCAAGAGAGTGACTAGAAGGTATATACCTTTTACAAAAATACGTCTAAAAGAATCCAGGGTGATACAGGATCGGAGAGTGCAGACCGTAAAGTTTACGCACCCACCCTTGCCTCCTGAATTCTTGGTTGGATAGACAATTATGCAATCTTGGTCGTTTATACTCCAAGTCCCTTCGTTAAAAGGGCAGTATTATTTATGTCTGGAGTTAGCTTCATTCAATAACCGATAGCGACAAATATAGAATGCTAAATTTAATAACTTTATTTTTATGATATGATATGTTTTGATTGTTATTAATAAATACCAAAATTTAAATTTGTTTTCCTAAAAAAAATTTGTTTTCCTAACTGTAAATAAAAAATGATATAATGACAGTTTCTTAGCTAATAATCTTAGTTTTGCCATATATTAGCTCGGACTTTAACTTCATGTCTATGCACTATGGTATTGGTTTAATATTTAAACAGCACTTTTTAACTCTTTTCCCACCCTTTAAAAATGATCGCCATTCTAAATGAGAAATTCAAAATTTCACTCTTTGCTTGATCAATGTCATTTGTCACTGCGTTCATACATCGTTGACCAGGCCAGACTCCAGAATCTTTGACTATTTCAACTTATTATCGCAATTTACAATTTGCATGTGCATATCCATTCACTATTCACAGGAGGACTATAATAGTGCAAAGATACTGCTGCTGCTAACTGCTGCTAACTGCTGTTCACTGCTGCTCACTGCTGCTCACTGCTGCTCACTGCTGCTCACTGCTGCTCACTGCTGCTCACTGCTGCTGTCGCGCGCGCCAATAGCAGCAGTGAGCAGCAGTGAGCAGCAGTTAGCAGCAGTTTCTTTGCACTATAGTACTCCTGTGTATTATAAGTTTGTATGTCTATAAACTACTATTGGAGGCTTCGACGCGCCGCGCAAACTAGCATTCTTTCTTCGCATCGATGCTTCGCATTATTGCTTCGTCAATCGTTGCTCTGCTTTGCGCTACAAACTTTTCGTGCATCACGCTACAAACTTTTCGACTATCTTATATTTAAATGTTAAAATAAATATTGTTTTATTTGAGTATCACTCGCTAATTATAATTTGTTCCTAATATTTTTAAAAATATATTTATTTTTAATTATAAGTGAGTTTATATTAACAAGTTAACGGTTAATTCACAATCAACAATGTCAATTCTTTGCAGCTCGTTGAGGCCCATTGGCATTTTTGATTTTGCTAATCCACTGAAGTGGTTGAGTGACAAATTATTTGATGCGCGGCCTTCACATAGCCATGTGTATACGCGTACTGCGCTACTGCAAGCGAGAGGGCTCTGGTTAGAGCAATGCGCGGCCCATGCCAGCAGTGCGTCGTGCTACAAAATTAACGGGTATACCAAGTTAACTATTAATAATCGTAATAAAATATTTGTTTCAAATAAGACTTCTCGTGAGAGGAGCTTGGATCTGGAGCGATCAGTAAAATAAATTAGCAAACTAGAGCTAGCCGCCTAGCCAGGTAAAATTATACGTGACGCGCTCATGTTTCAAAAAAAACATATTTCAATTTCACTTTTATTGACGATGTCAATCCATCGAGATCGTTGCTCTGCGAAGCAGAGCAACGATCGACGACGGAAGAATGCTAGTTTACGCGGCGCGTCGAAGTGGCGAAGTCCTCCAAAATTTCACTGTTTACGGATATAAAATTGATTCACAATGTCAATCCTTTTTAGCTCGGCAAGGCCCAGTGGTGCATTGCAATTGCGATTTGCGCCGATCTACGGAAGGTTGTGGTTAAGTTGCGAGAAGATGTGCGGCGCGGCCCATTGATTCACGATGTCAATCCTTTGCAGCTCGGTGAGGCACAGTGGTGCATCTCGCCGATCTACCGAAGAATTGTGGTTGCGAGAAGAAATATTTGATATACGGCGCGACCCAGTATAAATAGTGCATCGCGCTACAACGCGGCCCAGTAGTGCATCACATTATAGCTACAAGGATATAAATAGCTGTGAGTTTAACTCGCGGCATGCGTCTTAACAAAATAAACTTAAAGGCTACAAGGCGCCAGTGCATTTATTTAATTTAATTTGTATAAATGCCTAATGACTGTATTTATGATTTATAAAATTAACATTTTGAAGTCAGAAGCGGGTTTAAAATATTTGTAAATTGATATATTTTTGACGGATGTTCCCGTCTAAATTTCTTCGAAGTAGCGCGCCACTTTCTTCTCGAAATGGCCGGATGACAAGTGCTACGAAGTAGCGCGCGCCGTGCCAGACCATTAACAATGGTCAAATTTATTTTTGATATTTCAACCAGGGCTCATAAAAGCTTTCAATATGTAATATAATAGCGCCTTGGTTCTTTCGCCAGCTGAGGCAATGTGAGTGGCGGTGTGGTCACACCCACTCTAACAGTGTGTAATATTGATTAAATACAAGCGCGCTAGCTGCTAGCATACTTTGCACATTTGCAAATACTTAAGAATCATTTACTTTGAAATCAAGTTTATTTGGATATTCATATTTATTGATTGATTGTGTATTGAATTGGTGATAAATAATAAAATTATTTTTTCTCAAGTGTCAAGAAAATTGTCTTTTCTCAAGAAAATTGTCTTTTCTCATATTGCATATACAATATACAATATAATACGTACCGAGTCTTTTTTTAAATATGCTTGTAGCGCGATGCACTACTGGCAACTTGGCCGCGCGCGCATCCAATAATGCTTCTCGCAACCACGTATGCAGATCGGCGAGATGCGAAGGATTGACATCGTGAATCAAAATTATGCTGTACCATACGTACGTAATTCATAATGTGTGAATTCAAAATTAAGGTGACATACATAATGACATAAATTTTGTAGCGCAATGCGTTACCGTGCCGCGCCGCGCACTCAATGAGGCTTCTTACAGCTAGATCGGCGAGATGCGCTACTGTGCCGCGCCAAGCTGCAATGAATTAACATCGTCAATTAAACATAAATTGTACCTCCTAATATATCGTATCACGTTGTGACCCCCACGGTTGTTTCACTATAGTGGGGGAGCCGCGCACTCGTGCGCGGCGGGTCATACAACGTATGACAATTAGTATAGTCATGTGCCGCCCACTTGTGTGCACGTTACCTGGGGACCTCAGGCTATTATGTTCATAGACATGAATAGAGATTAGGCGGAATGACAGGCTGAGCGCGGCCCAGTAAGTGTGCACGGTATGTGGTAGGTAGTAAAATAAATCATACATAAATGACCTAATCACTAATACAATGTAATTTTATAAAATTCTTCAATGCTTAATATAATAGGGATGAAACCAAAAATAATCATCATTGATCATGCTTACTTTTATAATTCTACAGATAATTATTTGTTTCAATTTTACTTATCACTTGCTCATCAGTCACTTGCTCATCAGTCACTTTCCAGTTTGCTCTAACCAGAGCCCTCTCGCTTGCAGTAGCGCGCGACCGCCAGAGGCGGCAAAGATCCTACTTGTGAAACAAGCGCGTCACGCAGTACGCGTAGGCACATGGCTATGTGAACTTTCCAGTGTGTATTTGAAATTGTAAATTTAATACGTAATCCATTCAATTAAAAAGTGTGTTGAATTAGGATGTAGGAACCCTAACAAAAAATTGTTGAGTAGGTTTTCTTCTCAGGTAAAAATTGGAAGGCGAGCAATGACAATTAACAGTTATATCTCAACTTTGACGGATGTTACTCGTCTAAATTTCTGCGAAGTAGCGCGCGCCGCTTTCTTCTCGATGGCAAGTGCTACGAAGTAGCGCGCGCCGGGCCAGATCATTAACAATGGTCAAATCTCAAATGTAAAGTGATGTTCTTTATCAGAAGCAAAGTGCCAATTGCCATTTTATTAAGCAAAAAAGAGGGAACGCCTTTCTGGGTAACAGAGGTGATAAAACTTACCTAACTTTCAAAACCAGAGTAGCAGTCATTTCTCGTTTCATTGAAAAATTTTTTATTGATTAATGATTAAGTGATTTGAACCTTAACCTTAATAATGAATAAAACAAAACGAAATAAAACAAAAGGTAAATTGATTACCAATTATTCAATCAAAAAACTTTGTCAATATAGACAGTCTCAGCTACATATAGACAGTTTAGATTTGAACTTGGAGCCGCAAGGCCAAGGGTGATTTTCAAAACTTTGAGTTGTTGAAGGGATTAGTTTTTTTTATTTTAAAATTTTATATAGGGTCATTGCAACATTATGTGTATGCTGTTTGAAAAATTTTATATTTAAAAAAAATTATTCAATCAATACATACCATAAATCATAATATTGGAAACACTGCACAGAATGGATGTAACTATTATTAGAATCAGAATTAAACTATAGTTTTGTTGTCACTAATAATCTATTGACTTTCAAAGTTTAATTTTAGTTTTAAGTATGAAACCTGATCAACACTCATAGGAGTGTTTGTTGGGTGAGGGCCTGGACTGCTTATTGCAATGACTTGAAGACCAAAAATATGCTCTTACATAATATGGCCAGTGTATCTTCCAATTCACTAAAATGCCCATTTGGTGTAAGACTTTTTGTCCTTGCTAATTTGATTGTGGAAGGACAGACAACTAACAGAAAGCTTTTTCACACACCAAAACGCTAGTTTGGATGAATTTTTGAGGGCAAGGCTAATATTTGAACCAGATAACAATAGTAGGCAGAGAAAATTGCCATGGTAAATCTGGGTTTGCGGTGAATCGGGGTTTTATTGTACCTTAATCTTAACAATACAGAAATGTAGATTAATATGAATAAAACTTTCCCATTGTGCCTAAACACACATGCTTTACTCTCATAAATTATATTTTCCAGACAAGACTTTGAAAACACTAGCCAGGGGAATTTAATTGAGATTCCCTTCGAGATACCTGTGAGTCCCTGTGACTAATAATAGTATTTAATTTAGGACAGAAGGGCAATTGGCATATAAACTTCTTTAAAAAATCGAAGGTAAGGTTCTCACATGACACTAAATCACTGACTGAGGTGGTTTGTCCACTCAATGGAACAATAAGTTTTTCAATTAAACAGATCGTTCAAACTCTCACATCCATAGATAGAGTAATCCAGGCCATCCAATCTTCTGATTAAATTGGAACACTTACTTTCTACTCTTGATAGGATTTCAAATATTCTGAAGTTGATAAAGGAATTGCCTCTCTTCAATCCTTGTGTATGTTTGTTTTTCTTCTATATTAGTTACTCATATCTCTTGTACAGACTTTTTTACAAGGACATTGACAAATGATACTCACATTAGGCATTCATTATTGCATCTAAATTATTTCACTTGCATTAGGCTTAGAAATTTATTCTCTGGTCAACAGATTTCAAATGTTTAATTAATTTGTAGTATGACAGTGAGGTATATAAGAAGTTATTTAATTTTGCTTGGGCTATTATATTGACTAGGTATTGAGGTTTAATGATGATATGGAATTTGAATTCTATATAAATTTACACTATGTGGTTGGGGCATTTTGCATAGTAAATATGGTTACTACTCATATATATCATATTATTTGATTGGTATTCGATTTCTGATTATTTCTCTAGGAATATGATTATTATATCTCAATTTGGCTTTAGGTAGGGTGCCCCGCTAAAAGAACTGGATTCTTCCAGGAAGCATCCCGTGCACAGAGCTTGGTCTACATATATATTAAATTATTAACCATTCATTCTGTATGTGCACGAAAATTTATTTCAATCAATCAAGACATATTTGTCACACGATTTCTGCAACTTAACTGCTAATAATTTAGCACAAGCCTACAATATAGCACTCTGATTTACCATTCATTATTTTAAGCTATGACAACGGTCGAGAGCTTGTTGTCTTGGGACTCTCAAAAGTTGAAACAGTTGTCTGATGAAAGTGGAGATATAGCGAAGGTTATAAACTACTTTAGGGAGTTTTTAACTACTGTTGCTGATGAACGGCAGCGCTTTGCAGATGAACGTGATGTTCTCAGCCAACAAGTCAAGGTAATAGTACTGCACATTAATCAAATTTAGATATGAATTTAGGTAACATATGTTTTTAATATACTTATCAGCTTTCATTATCTTACTATATATAAGGCGAGACGATATACTTATCAGCTTTCATTATCTTACTATATATAAGGCGAGACGATCTATATGGTTCCGTGCCATTTTACTGACACCACGGCATCAACTTTAACGCGACTTTTCGCAAAAACCGTGAATGATATACAACTTAAACTTTTTTTGACTGGGCCAAATGCTTTAATGGCCGTCAAATCAGCACGAAAAATTAAAATTGGCCAAGAAATAGGAGTTTTAGAGCCCAAAATTTGGACCACCAAGTGGTGTCAAAAACGCGAATTAAATAGGTAATAATAATTTTAGTCTTTTGAGTCTTGACACCATTTTAGGGTTATACGGGTTCCTGCTAGTCAATATAATCAGCTAACACCAATTATGGCATATTAATGCAGAATTTCTTAACTAAAGTGTGTGCTCTAACCAGGTTGCTGATCTGAATGCTGAGCAACGTTGCACTGAGATGCAGAACCAAATATTTGAGCTCTCCAACAAACTCAACATGGAGACGGTACGCAAAGAAGAGTTACTTAGGAGTGACCATGATTCCAGTTCAGAGCTTAGCAAGCTGAAAACAAAGCTGGACGAATATGTTTCTGATAAATCAGAACAATGCTCGAGACTTCAGCAAATTGAATCTGAATCCACAAGCTTGAAATTGAAACTTGAGGATGCTCTTAGAAGGTACTTTATTTATTCCTAGCTAAGTATTTTATACTGTTTATTAATAGAATTTAATACAACACCATAGTACAGTACAAATTTGAAGTGAACCTCTTTCATAATAGTGTGACCAACACTATTTTCCATGAATGATGAAGTGCCGTGTTTTTTATCTTCATTTTTCCCAAGTTCTACAGTATCTTATCTATATTATAAGGCTTATTAATAAAAATGTAATATTATTTAGATTGCACTACAAAGAAGAGGAAATAAAGCGTATAAATGGTGACTGGGAGAGCGTTTCAGCAAAGGAAGCTGATCTGAGTAAGATGCAGGCAGAAGTCCGTGCTAAGCTGAGCGATGTTGACAGCCGGGAAATGTCTCTCAAGTTCCGGGAGGAGAGGCTGAGTCAGGAAAAAGTAAGATTTGCCAAGTGTTTTATAATGCGCGACATTTTCTTTCAGTCCTTATAAATCATCTCCGATGTGATCATGTTTGTTTTACAAGTCCTGATGGGTAAAAATTAAAACTTGATTCCATTGTCATGGCTAAATAAAGTAATCCCCCTCAGGATATAGTAACTCAACAGAACGTGTGGTTAACTGACGAACTCACTGCCAAGACTAATGAGCTCGCTAAATTACGACAATCATCTACCGAGATCACTTGCAAGCTAAAATCAGAGCTTGCCCATAAATCCGAGGACAGTGCTTTCCTCAATGTAAGTAGTATTTGAATCATGAATTTGAATCATGAATTTCCCTATTTATATTTTACATCTGTAATAGCTTGTTTAATGAATTTATAAAATTTGTTCGAACCAGGAGAGCCATAAAACGCTGAAAGGGCACACCAGTAGGCTGGAGAAAAAGGTGAATGAGCTGGCAACAAAGCTACAGGACAAAGACTCTGCCCACTTGACTGACATCGAGAACATCAGACTACAGTTGAACAAGCAGGAGAGGTTAACTGATCTCTACAACAACAACTGTGAGGAATACCAGGTAGGAACCTTATTTTACTGTGTCTCACGTGGTTAAATAAATCTCCCCCACGTTTTGTGAATATTGAAGTGTGTTACTGTAATTATTTAATTTAAAACCTTCATCCTGGACCTCCCTAATCCCTAATAAGGTGTTTTTAAATGTCTCGCTAACCGATAATACCAGGGTAAGATAAAAGAGCTGACGTCAGCAGTGACGGAGATGCAGAATATGTTATCACGTGCTCAAGAGGAGAACATCTCCCTGGAACAGCACTGTAACGAGGAACTCACCAAGGTTTTACAGCTAGTGACTCTTGTACAGTTCAAGCGGAAATGGCCCATTCATAATAGATCTCTCAATATTTTCCGTTCTAGTTTCATTTCAAAACTGTGTCCACTCACTTCGTATCTCTTGCTCAGCATCTGTCTGTGACGAAGGAGTTGGAAGGGAAGATAGTTTCTCTACAGAATGAGCTGGAAAATGCTAACGATTTGATCCTGACTTCTCGTAAAACAGACAATGTGGGTTCTGCTCAGTTCGATCTCTCTCAACTCTCTTCCACTGCCGTCACTGTCGGAGGTATGGTTGTTATGTCGATAAGTTAAATTTGTCTAACATTCATTATTTACCTGCAGATTTAATAAATGTCATCCACCCACAGTTGATTGCAGACATATTATGATTTCCTTCCTAAGAAACAACTCTAAAAATAGTCCAAGTTGTACGCTCTGGTTTGCAGAATGTTATCATCTAAAACTTATAATCTCAAGCTCACCTATCCCCTCCAGGAATGTTAAAGTCAGGAATGTCAATAACTCAGATGTACAGCGCGTATGTTGAAGCAACCGAACAGCTGGCTCTAGAGAAAGACAAGAACAGACTACAGACCCAGTACCTGGATCAGATACTGAAAGAGATCGAGGAGAAAGCTCCTCTGTTACAGCAACAACGCGCTGACTATGAGAACGCACTCTTAAATCAGGTACGTATAATATGGTTTCTAGCAGGAAGGAAATTCAAATCATGTATGCGACCCTTTGGAATGTAACATACAAAAAGGACGAACACTCGAGATTGGTTCGTTACGAGTTATCACGATAAGATTTCATGTAAATATAATTACCAACACAACACCATTAACTACCCTCCTTCAGGATAATCTAGCGGACAAGTTAGAGAAGTCAATGAAGCAGGTTGATCACTACCGTATAGCGAGTGAGGAGAATCAGAATACTAGCCGAGCTCTGAAACGTGAGAATGACCGCATGAAGGGACAAGTCAGGGATCTCGGACAGCAAGTTCAGGTTAGGACGGTACTTTGCTTTCTGGTTCATACTTCATGGTCAAAAATACGTTTGACTGTGTTACTAATTAACATATTTGTAACTGCTGTGCTATCATTTGAGATTTCAATTAGTAAAAAAAAGTTACAGATTTTAATCACTTTCACGACCAGGTCCTAGTGAAGGAAGTAGAAGATGCACGTGCAGGTCGCACATCTCGCGCCAGCTCCAGGAGTCAATCTCCTGCTGTCAACTCCAACAATGTGTCATCCTCATCTGCGTCACAGGTAATGCAATGGTCGCTGTATAGTATATAAATATCCTCGTTACCTGCTTAGCATTAATCTTGCATCCTGTGCAGTGAAAGCTAGCTATCTAAAAAAGTAATTACAACGATATCATGATTTCAAAGGATCATTTTGTTTGTATCTTACAATAACATCAGAATATCTTAAATCAGGTGATCAGTGGCCAGCTGGTGAGTTTCAGATCTATAGCGGAGTTGCAGCAGCAGAACCAGAAGTTGCTGTGTGTGGTGAGGGAGCTGAGTGAGGACCAGGAGCGCAGGGAGATAGAGGATGAGGATCCTAAGGTAAGGTTAATCACGTGACTCACACGTGTCACCTACCTGACTTAGTTAAGTGACTGCACAAAGTCATGTATTAAAAGATTGGATCCATGGCAGTATTTATAATTGTATTCACTCTTGTATGCTCTGCAGATAGTTGAGTTGCGAGCTAAGCTGGAGACAGCAGGAGATAATATCAAGGAACTGAAACTAGCACAGGAGCAGCAAGTTGAGATGGTTGAAGCTGTCGCGCGACAACGAGACATGTACAGAGTCCTTCTCGCTCAGGCGGGACACAATATCGGTTAGTCATCTTTAAGAGGGAGTTCGACCAGTTACAACATTTTTGTTAATCACTAGTGTGAACTTAATGTGAATTTGACTCTTTTAGCGAAACTAAATAATACGTTGATGATCTCCGGATCTCATGTCGAAACGTTCCTCAATTCACTCAACAAATGAAACAGGTTGATTAGTAAATGAATTAGTTCATGATCACGATGCATTCTAGTTCGTGACACGAATAAACACATATAGGGCCCATTGAAGAGAGCAAGGAGAAGAGCAAGGAGTCAGAGAAATCATCCCAACATGAACTGGCGCTCGGAGAGCTACAGAAAGAGTTTACTTCGTACAAGAAGGAGAAACGGGAACAGATAAACCTTGTACAGGATCAGCTGGACACGGCCCGCAACGAGTGTAGCGGAATGCTTGCGGAGAAGACAAAGTTAGCCAGCAAGTTAGAGTTTAACGAGGAAAAACACAGGTTCTTGGAGAACAACAACACTAATCTAACAGCTGAGGTTAGTAATTTTATAAATTCATCATTTCGCAAAAGCAACTGAAAGAATCATTACCTGACTATGATCAGCTATCAAAAAACGTTCATAACTTTTCAGACTTCACCTAGTTCCGATAATATAAGAATATCCCTGTCAGATGAAGCAGTACAAAGAGAAGTGCAGGGAGATGCAGAGTACAGTAACACGACTACAGCTCACAAACGACAGACTTCAGAATGAGAGCATGAGCAGTAGAGAGGAGCTGAGCAAGCTCCGGCACCGTATTGAGGGTCACAACAAGACCATAGAGCTGATCAAAGTTAGCGAGATTAAACAGAGAACTCAGAACGAGGCACTGATTAGGGAGAGCCGGACTCAGAACATGTTGCTTAGCAACCTCCAGACCATACAGAACAATCTTGAGAGACAGGTATAGTATTGTGTGAAACTCAAGTAATAAGACTTTTATATATCAAAGCTTAGCAAATATTCACAGATGTTCACTTTACAATCTCGGGCTTGATCCTTGATTCCACGTGTTATATGGTGGTTAGATTACTTGGTCCCCCCACGTCCGCCAGCCATCTTATCCTACAAACCTCAGGAGTTTGACAGGAAAGATAGGACTGATAAGAGGATAGGATCGTTGGAAAGTGAGCTGAATGAGGCTAGAAGAAAACTACAGAGCACTGAGCTAAGATACAGGACTTCTGAGGCTATACAGAACTCTCAGCTAAAGGAAATGAAAGTAAGTGAAACGGTGCGGTATTGACAGTGAACTTACTTGACTACAGTACTGCAACTGGTACCAATGGTTTGACTAGTAACAGTGATTAAAGAACTCCCTAGATAATCAATGTAATTATAATATTTTAACGATTAATTTTTCAGTCATCCCTGGAAAAGGAGCGGGTTAATATAGCAGAACGCCAATCAGCGCTTGAGAAGCTCCAAGTGGACCACACGGCCCTCTTAGAACAGAGAAGTGAACTAAAGGTCCAGGTTGAAACGTTACAGTTCAGACTGCAACAGAGCAACCAGGGAGTTTCTGTAGAGCAGACTAATTCTGATGCTGGTAAATATTCTGAATGAAACTGTTATCTTCTCCCAAATTCGTTTGAAACATCTGCTTGTGGTACCCTGGGGCCTGGTAGTCTACGATAATAGCATATGTTCTGCTCTACATTTTCGAGTAGACGTTCATTTTCTTTTGTCAGATTCAGACGATACGATAGCAGTTCAATCATCCCGGCTCAGAGAGCAGACTGCAAAGATCACTGAGCTTCAACACAGACTTCTTGAGATGACAGCAAGAGAGGACAGTCTCAAATCTCAAGTGGAACTTGCTAAGCAGCATGCTCAACAGGTAATAATGAAGTGTTAGGCTGATCATCAGTTCTTGTTCAGGTTTCACTAGCAATACATGTTTGTTTCATTTTTCATGCACAAATTCTTCATTATTCATATCTTACTTGCATAACTTTAACAATTCCTCGCTATCAGTACAAGGATATCAGTGAAGCCCACGAATTAGCGCTGAAAGAGATGTCGCAAAGCGAACAATCTGTGAAGTGTGCATCAGAACAGCTGATTACTCAAAACTGGGAGGAAATAACTACCCTAACTGAAAAGTTAAAGGAGGCTAACGAACAAAGACAGAAATATCAAGATCAACTCGATAGGTTCCAACAAAAAGGTGGGGATTCTCATCCATATCTTATTTTGTGATATATATTTGTTGATAACCTTATCTGCCACAAATAAAACTGAAGCTTTATTGATACTTCGTATAAAAGATGAGAACATATCAGGTGAGACTGAAGTGAGACAATTGAACGGTGCCCTAACAAAGACTCAACATTTGTTGGAAGAAGCTCGTGAGAAGGAAGAAGCAGCGATTGGTCTTGAGCTTGACATACGTTCTCAGTTCAACAAACTCAGCGCCAGTTACGATGAAGCTCAATCTAGGTAACATGCCTTGTTAATCAATACCAGTACCTCTCAATTTGAGCAGTTGTTCTCGTGCTTTAAATAAAAATAGGTTGATCACTTTTACGTTGTCTTGAAACTAAACTAAAACCTTTTCAGTATAAGCGAACAAAGAGAGGAGATGGTTCGTGCTGAATCACAGTTAACAGAGCTTAGACAGAAAACAGTTCAGTATCAAAAACAGATTTCTGACTTGACGTCTGAAAAAACTAATGCCGGTTAGTAATTAGTTACCTATATTTAAAGTTTGATATCATTCCTTTTTACTCGGGCAGTGTTCATTGCCACATCGTGATGGAGTCCGCTTATACTGCAGGCGCGGTGCATTTCTTGTATATAAAGTTTCTTGCACGTACAAATATTTTGCGCGAGTATAGATTTATTTTTCGCGGGTTTTCGAAATCGAACATTGCCGGTGAGCGGCGATTAGATGGCTGATGAGCCCCCTTTTATTTTTCATCCACACTTTAAAACGTAAATATTTCAGAGGCCCGACTTGGAGAGGACTCCCAGGTTTGGCATACACAGAGAGTTGGTTTGGAGCAGGAGAGAGATGCTCTGCGTCAACGAGCTGATGATTTGGAGCAACAGAACACGTGCTTACATTCGCAGTTGGCTACTCTTAGCAAAGGTTTGCAGATTTTTCATGGAATACAGTTTTCCCGTCAATTTATTAATGATCTATTTTTGAAACTTGTAATATTGTTGGACAAGAAACGGTTCCAATGTGTCCCATGCAGATCTGATGATCGTGAAAATGTTTGAACTATTCAATATTGCTAACATAAGAGTTATGTTTACTGTTATAGAATATAATAAGCCTGATAATGACTGTTCCTTCAGACGTAGTGGAGCTACAGAAGGCTATAACAAGCGATGTACCCGACGTTACAGCACAAACTTCTGATAATAAGTCCACTGAGGAGCTGTGGGAGATTATCAGGTTCGCTAAATTCAAATCTCTGCATCATTTCTCCCTTGTTGTTTTTATCCTTCAAACTGTATCTATATACTACCCCTAAAAACTGTTTTCCTCCCTTTAAACTATAATATGTCAGGTATGTGCGCCGTGAGAAGGAGATCTTAGTAACCAAGATGGAGGTAAGTGAGAGTGAAGCTGGTCGCTTCAAGAACCGCTCCTCCTTCCTTGAGAAACAGTTAGACGAGACAAGGACGTGTCTTGAAGAGGAGAGGACCAGAAATCACTCCTCCGTCCTGTCTCTCGAAAAACATCAGGTGGGTTGTAATAAATGATAATACCATCAATGTTTAGGGTGAACCATTTTCTTTTTCTATGAATCATTAGACCTGTCTATTTGATTTAAACGTTATGCCAATAATAAAATCACTCAGGAGTTATTAAAGCAAGTAGAGGAGTCTCAAGCTCTAGCTGAAAGGATAAAACAGATGACGGAAGATAAGAGCAAACTGACAACTATGACCGGGCTCTTGAAGCAGCAAATTGCAGCATATGACAAACAAGTCAAGCCTCTCAAGGCCCAAAACAGAGATCTCAACGACAAAATCACTGTCATACAGGTACATGTGTTATTTGTATGTTTACATTTACAATAATCGATCAAACGAACCGTTATTTCCAAAAAAAGAGGATTTTAAACCAGGAATTCTCCGATGATCACTCAAGTTTTGTGAAGAAATTTGGCTTATTTGTTATTGTGTACACCTATTATAAGCAGAGACAAATCTCTGTTTTTATGCCAAGTAGCAATGAAATGATTGAAAGTAATGACACCAACGTTTCCCCACAGTCTGAGAAGGAAGGACTTGCTAAGGACGTTGCCCGCTGGTCTAACAGGTGTAACGAGTTGATAGAGCAGTGTAACAAGGTGGACGCCAAGGAGTTCGCCCGTCTTCAAGCTGAGAACGGTAAATTGTGGGGGCAGTTGAAGAAACGACAAGAGGAGCATAGCGCTGAGTTGGCAACAAGCCAAGAAAATCTGACTAAGCTTGAGGAAGAAAATGGTAGAGTTGCGGAGGAAAAGAGGCAGCTTCTGGGAACTATCAACAGGTAAATATTACTCTTTCGAATAGATCTTCAGGCTTGTTGAATTATAGAGTCTTGGGGTCAAATATTTATGCCATCATTACGTCATTATATAGGGATTCCAAAGTGAAGGTTCAATGGAAAAGACGATAAGTCTTATTATTGCTGATATTTTCTTTAGCATTAAAGCCGACGGAACAAAAATACGAATGGAGCTGACCAATGTGAGCGCAGAGCTGAAAACTTCAACTTCTCAAGTGACAGTATTCAAAACTGAAACAGAAAAGTTAAAGAAGGAGCAGCAAATCCTGATGAAAGAATTAGAAGATACTAAAACTAAAATGGATGAACAAATGGAAAGGGATCAACTTGACAAGGACAAGAAGGATAATATAATCAGTAAACTAAGAGCGCTTGCCAAGAAATACAAAGGTAATTATTGTTTACTCGTCAAGTTTGAAATTTGAATATTGTGAAACTTTATAAGGAACATTTTCCAGCTGATCTTCGTCCTTAATAACACGTACGTTCGCAGCTAAATCTGAAGCCCAACCGCCCGCTGATCCCACACCAAACGAGGCTCAAATAAAAGAGCACGAGGAAGATAAAGATAAGCTCCGCAAAGCTATGGAGGCTTTCAGGACTGCCAAACTCAAGATTGACGGCATGGCGTAAGTTCCTGCATTTTGTCTCTGGAAATTGGAATTGTTCTGCTTAGATCGGTGTTGCAATTTATAGTCTTCATATTATTCATGTTTTTATAAGATATCATTGTAACATAAGAAATAATTGCAGTACCAAGAACAAAGAGTTAGAACACGAACTGAGCCAAAGTAACTCCAACACAGAACTTTTAAAATCCGCCCTGGAGTCTGAGAAGACAGAGTTTGAGCATCAGATGGAGAGTCTCCGTACTATGAACACAGAGCTCAGCTCCAAAGTTGATAAATCAGAGCAGGATAAACTGAGTCTCGCCACAACTATCAGTGTAAGTGGAAGCGTCTGGGTCGGGACAGAATTTGGGACAACATGATTTTGCAATTTTCTTCGAGATTTTGAATTCCAATACCTCAATTTGGTTCCGTACCATCATCAATTAACTGACTAATTGGTTTGTGGGCAAAACGTTCATCCAATCTGTCAAATTTGTGTTAAGAAATTTTCATATTTGAAAATGGGACAGACTTTGGAAAATACACATTTTCGTTTTGTCAAACTTTCTGCTGTGAGCTTCCTCTGACCGAAATCAAACTTCCAGCACCTCAATCGTGTCATTTGTCATCTATAGTTGACTGACTAATTGGTTGCAGGTGATAATTTCGGTCAAAACTGTAAAATTTCGGTCCTGGAAATTTCATCTTCAAAAACTGAAAATGGGACAGAATTTGGGACAACATGATTTTGCAATTTTCTTCGAGATTTTGAATTCCAATACCTCAATTTGGTTTCGTACCATCATCAATTAACTGACTAATTGGTTTGTGGGCAAAAAATTCATCCAATCTGTCAAATTTGTGTTCAGAAATTTTCATATTTGAAAATGGGACAGACTTTGGAAAATACACATTTTCGTTTTGTCAAACGTTCTGCTGTGAGCTTCCTCTGACCGAAATCAAACTTTCAGCACCTCAATCGTGTCATTTGTCATCTATAGTTGACTGACTAATTGGTTGCAGGTGAGAATTTTGGTCAAAACTGTAAAATTTTGGTCCTGGAAATTTCATCTTCAAAAACTGAAAATGGGACAGAATTTGGGACAACATGATTTTGCAATTTTCTTCGAGATTTTGAATTCCAATACCTCAATTTGGTTTCGTACCATCATCAATTAACTGACTAATTGGTTTGTGGGCAAAAAATTCATCCAATCTGTTAAATTTGTGCTCAGGAATTTTCATATTTGAAAATGGGACAGACTTTGGAAAATGCACATTTTCGTTTTGTCAAACTTTCTGCTGTGAGCTTCCTCTGACCGAAATCAAACTTCCAGCACCTCAATCGTGTCATTTGTCATCTATAGTTGACTGACTAATTGGTTGCAGGTGATAATTTCGGTCAAAACTGTAAAATTTCGGTCCTGGAAATTTCATCTTCAAAAACTGAAAATGGGACAGAATTTGGGACAACATGATTTTGCAATTTTCTTCGAGATTTTGAATTCCAATACCTCAATTTGGTTTCGTACCATCATCAATTAACTGACTAATTGGTTTGTGGGCAAAAAATTCATCCAATCTGTCAAATTTGTGTTCAGAAATTTTCATATTTGAAAATGGGACAGACTTTGGAAAATACACATTTTCGTTTTGTCAAACTTTCTGCTGTGAGCTTCCTCTGACCGAAATCAAACTTCCAGCACCTCAATCGTGTCATTTGTCATCTATAGTTGACTGACTAATTGGTTGCAGGTGATAATTTCGGTCAAAACTGTAAAATTTCGGTCCTGGAAATTTCATCTTCAAAAACTGAAAATGGGACAGAATTTGGGACAACATGATTTTGCAATTTTCTTCGAGATTTTGAATTCCAATACCTCAATTTGGTTTCGTACCATCATCAATTAACTGACTAATTGGTTTGTGGGCAAAAAATTCATCCAATCTGTTAAATTTGTGCTCAGGAATTTTCATATTTGAAAATGGGACAGACTTTGGAAAATGCACATTTTCGTTTTGTCAAACGTTCTGCTGTGAGGTTCCTCCGACCGAAATCAAACTTCCAGCACCTCAATCGTGTCATTTGTCATCTATAGTTGACTGACTAATTAATTGCAGGTGAGAAATTTGGTCAAAACTGTAAAATTTCGGTCCTGGAAATTTCATCTTCAAAAACTGAAAATTGGACAGAATTTGGGACAACATGATTTTGCAATTTTCTTCGAGATTTTGAATTCCAATACCTCAATTTGGTTTCGTACCATCATCAATTAACTGACTAATTGGTTTGTGGGCAAAAAATTCATCCAATCTGTCAAATTTGTGTTCAGAAATTTTCATATTTGAAAATGGGACAGACTTTGGAAAATACACATTTTCGTTTTGTCAAACTTTCTGCTGTGAGCTTCCTCTGACCGAAATCAAACTTCCAGCACCTCAATCGTGTCATTTGTCATCTATAGTTGACTGACTAATTGGTTGCAGGTGATAATTTCGGTCAAAACTGTAAAATTTCGGTCCTGGAAATTTCATCTTCAAAAACTGAAAATGGGACAGAATTTGGGACAACATGATTTTGCAATTTTCTTCGAGATTTTGAATTCCAATACCTCAATTTGGTTTCGTACCATCATCAATTAACTGACTAATTGGTTTGTGGGCAAAAAATTCATCCAATCTGTCAAATTTGTGTTCAGAAATTTTCATATTTGAAAATGGGACAGACTTTGGAAAATACACATTTTCGTTTTGTCAAACTTTCTGCTGTGAGCTTCCTCTGACCGAAATCAAACTTCCAGCACCTCAATCGTGTCATTTGTCATCTATAGTTGACTGACTAATTGGTTGCAGGTGATAATTTCGGTCAAAACTGTAAAATTTCGGTCCTGGAAATTTCATCTTCAAAAACTGAAAATGGGACAGAATTTGGGACAACATGATTTTGCAATTTTCTTCGAGATTTTGAATTCCAATACCTCAATTTGGTTTCGTACCATCATCAATTAACTGACTAATTGGTTTGTGGGCAAAAAATTCATCCAATCTGTTAAATTTGTGCTCAGGAATTTTCATATTTGAAAATGGGACAGACTTTGGAAAATGCACATTTTCGTTTTGTCAAACTTTCTGCTGTGAGCTTCCTCTGACCGAAATCAAACTTCCAGCACCTCAATCGTGTCATTTGTCATCTATAGTTGACTGACTAATTGGTTGCAGGTGATAATTTCGGTCAAAACTGTAAAATTTCGGTCCTGGAAATTTCATCTTCAAAAACTGAAAATGGGACAGAATTTGGGACAACATGATTTTGCAATTTTCTTCGAGATTTTGAATTCCAATACCTCAATTTGGTTTCGTACCATCATCAATTAACTGACTAATTGGTTTGTGGGCAAAAAATTCATCCAATCTGTCAAATTTGTGTTCAGAAATTTTCATATTTGAAAATGGGACAGACTTTGGAAAATACACATTTTCGTTTTGTCAAATTTTCTGCTGTGAGGTTCCTCCGACCGAAATCAAACTTCCAGCACCTCAATCGTGTCATTTGTCATCTATAGTTGACTGACTAATTGGTTGCAGTTGAGAAATTCGGTCAAAAAACTGAAAATGGGACAGAATTTGGGACTCAGGGATGTTTCATCAAAATCATAGTTTTATTCGTCCACTGCATGATGTGAAGTTTAACTGCGTCCTGGAGTCAAGTAGAATCGTATAGAAGCTAAAACGTCTAGTGTCTACACAATCTAAAACGTCTACACAATCTAAAACGTCTACACAATCTGGCCATACCGCCAAAGCACGACATACTCAACAGGTCGGATAAAATCCATTGTTTACAACGTTTTTCACAGGAACTGCAGAGGTCTACAGAGCAGGCGCACACGCGAAACGTGGAAACGAACACGGATATGACAACCCTGGACCAGTTCACTAATACAGGTGACACACCAACTGCTTCAGTGAAACCCACAGCTTCTGCTTCAGTGAAACCTACAGCATTGGCAGGTAAGATGAAATGACCCAAAAATTGCGTTTGTTTATCGGGCAGAATTGGACAGGGGTGGGTGTTTATGGTATTTTATGATTGAACTACGGATATAACAAGTAATAGGTAGGTTTTGGTGTAACAAACAAAACCATCCTCAGGATTGAGCACCCCTACAGCAGCAGTGAGACCCACCAGTATAGCCCCGGACATACCTCCTCGCATGGCCACTGTCACCCCCACCACCAGTGTCCACATCTCCACCTCCTCCCCCCTCCTTCTACCCAACGTTACTGGCAGTATCGCCACCACGCAGGTGCATAATACATATCCAGTCAGCATTAAATGCAATATTCCTCCCAGTATTCGTAATATTGTAAACTGTAAATACTTAATACCCGCAGCTCATCAGCTCATAGCAATTAAATATAATGTCTTCTCCAGGTATCGTCCAGTAGTGTACAAGGGGGACAAAGTGAATCCTCCTCCTCCTCACGACTTGACACTGAAGTTACTACTGGAGAAGTACGTGCCATGCTCCGCAGTTCTCCTCGCGTCTCCAGCCGTGGTGATGATCCTTCCTCCCGTGTTTCAAGCAGAGGAGACGAGCCTGTATCTTCTGCCGGGTACAAACGAGCTCGGTGTGACGTAGAGGACGACGACGGAGAACAGCCAGGACCGAGCACTAAGATCGCAATGGTGACGAGCAGCGCCCACGTGCAACACATCTCCGAGTCCACATCTGAGGTGTCCCAGTCGACTGGTTCGGACTTGTGTGTGGTGAGCGCAGTGTCACAAAGCTCCTCAAAACAACCTGTATCTAGACACACTGCGGGATCCCTGGTTAGCAGTTCCGAGCATGATATGGCTGCTTCATCTTCTTTTGATAGCATAATGTCCGACTCTGCAGCTGTCACTTCTAGCGAGGTATCTACCATTTATCATACTTCGATTACTCTTGCTTTCTATTTCCAGTTATTACTTCATCTTAACATTCTATTTTGTTGACGTTGATTTAAGCGATTCTTGTGAAAACTTAAATCATCCTGTAATCAGGATATGATCACATTTTAAAGTTCAGAGATAATATCTAAGTTTCCTTTACAGGCTGGTGCAACAGTTGATCGTGATTTGGTGATCGAAACAAATGAGGCAACCCCAGCTGCACGTGGGCTTACCATGATAACGGATGACGCTAACGAGGACGAGCTGATGGGGGAGGCTCACGTGACTAGTCATGTGACCAGTCAGGGTCACGTGACTAGTCAGTCCGACAGGGACAACGACGATGTTCAGATAATTGAGATTGCTAGTGATTCTGAAGGTAATTATTAATTAATTATGCTGCTATAATGATTATTTTGCAAGTAGATATAACATATTCTGATACCCCATTCTAATTGATAGATTTGCTCTAACAGTATCTCCCTTCCTGCAAGGAAGTACAGGTGACAGTAGTAATGATGAAGAGGAGGACGTGTATTCCGGATTAGAGGAAGTTGAGGAGGACTCCAAACAACTTCAATTCTCATTCGTCCAATCTTCTGGCACTGACCCTGTCCTGGATATCATGCCTGATTCGGTATGTTCAATATTTTCAGTGAGCCTCAGTTTGAGAAATACTTCTATTCCTGTGTTGTTCAAATTTACTTAAAATTCCGTCAGTTAAATGTATCATTTCAGGATGACCACGAGTCGCTGCTGGACGAGGCCCGGCCAGGTGAGGTTCCAGAGACCACCTCAAGTACAGTCAGCACAACCAGTACCAGCAACACGTCCCTCCGCTCTCTCCGTCCAAATGAGACTCCCTGGGCTCATCTCGCTGCCAGCGCCTCTTCTCCTTCCACATCAGGTTTGTTAAATCATCGGATCTATAATCTGTAAAGGTGTAATACTGTTCTAGTGTAAAGTGTGACAAAACCTTTACCAAATGTTGTAATGTACTAAGAACGTTTAAAGTTATAAAAGTTTATTTTAAATTCATCTTTTTCAGACACCACAACGCAAGCTGCCTCATCAAGCAATGTGCGCGGCATACGGAGAATAAAACGGCAACCTCCCAAAAAGGATTAAAGAAAAGAAACATGCTTTGTTATTTATTGAACTTTCAAACCTGATTGCAGGTTAAAATTTGCGTGAAAGTCTTTTTTGCTTTAAGCTGGCCCATTGTACATGATTTAAATAAAGATCGTATTGAACATACTTTAAGGATTTAAATGGCGAGGAAGATCTATTCCAGAATTGCATTTCTTTGAACTGAAGCACTTTCGATCGAGTGATAACCGATTCGTGCAGTGCTCTGGGCTTCAAAGCGCGGTTTTCAACATTTTTAAGTGATGTTGATTTATCTGTTATGACTAAAACCAGCTGAAATTGTATTGATGCCCAACTTTACTTAACATTGATTACTGTTAATCGAACATGGCTGTGCTGAATTTCCCTTGCAACTTGAACTGTTGTTAATGAAATGCTTAATAAGATATAATGAGATACTTTTGCAATGTAAGAATACTCTGTTTTAAATAAAGATATTCCATTTTGACAATTGTTGTTCAAACTGTTGCCGTTCCTATGAAGTTGGCGTCAAGGTTAACTGTGATAGTAAACGCTGATCCGTATCTCTTGCTGACGCCAGGTACCAGGACAACTGGGTGGGTCCGAGGTTACGGGGTACTCGACCTTGGACCGTTTGTGCTGGCTCATTATTTCTCTCGCCCAAAAATTATCACGTGATTTGGGTTTTTACGGTTTAACAGCCGAACAAAACAGTCTTACTTTTGACCTTAGTCCTAACCCTTTCCATAACCCCGAAGCTAACCTAAAAATCAAATTCCTTTTTCAGCCTGTCACAGTTCTTTGTCAATAACTCCTCGGGTAAGCATTTTAACCCTCCGTTATGTGGAGGTGATTCGGAATCACTATCAGCGTCCAAAATACATCGATAGATTTTTATAATTTGGGTGAGCGATTTAGCGCTTTGTGTTCAGTGTTGGGCATATTTCAATTTTCAATTCTTTTTTATTTCCTTAGAATCTGTTTATTCCTTTGTCTGGGGACCTCAGCCTTATCTGAACATAAAAAGATCGAAGATGCGGTGAAATGACAGGCTTAGCGCCGCCCAGTTAGTTTGCGGCTTGGGAAGACTAAGAGCACTATGAAATGACTGATGTCGCGATACCTGATTTTGTGGCTATTTGCCGCGCACTTCACTCTTGCATGCCGCGGCAAGGAGAGCAAATAAAATGTGGCCGTGGAGCAAATAAATAAAATGCGAATTATAAATGATAAATGTTTGTGCCACGCTTACTTAGCTTACTGGGCCGCGCTCAGCCTGTCATTCCGCCAATGAACATAATAGCCTGGGGTCCTCAGGTAATTACTTAGCTTGCTCAGTTTCACGAAAAGAACGCCGCTCATAAGGATATCCGAGCGCGCTTGGTAAAGGCCACTGCATGCTGAAACTTCACCTGACCATGAGCGTTTGCTTGTCCATTGATATTTTTAATGGACTAGCCCGGCGCGCGCTACTTCGAAGAAATTTAAACGAGTAACATCCGTCAACACCAAGCTGCGAAGGATTGACATCGTCATGTTAAAAATAAATAAGTGATATGTGATAATATATCTATTATAATAGATAGTGCGCCATCGACAGTGAGCCGCGCGTGCCGACTGTAAGATAATTTTTTAGCGCTAATTTCGGCCAGCACAAAATTCTTAAAACAAATGCGTATTGACAATTGAGTAACCTTCCCTTGATCTAATTTTAACAAAAATTGGTTTGCTTACACAGCTTACTCATAGGCTTCACATTAACATAGCCATGTGTATACGCGTACTTAACTGCCTTCGGCCGCTCCTACTAAATCGCTCGCCCAAATTTTAAGAAAATTCTTGTGAAAAGGCCCTTTGGGCATGAAAGTGATCCAGATCGGTGTATTTTTGGACGCTGATTCCGAATCACCCCACATGACATAGGGTAAAAATGCTTTCACGGAGAGTTATGGGCAAAAAACCATTTTGGTCACGTGACATGCTAGTAAAACATGAATTCGATTGTTTAGGGCTCATGGGTAGGGTTAGGGTTGTGGTACGGGTTATGGTTAGCTTCGGGCTTATGGTTAGGGTTTGGGTTGGGATTCCGGATTAGGGTTTATGTAAAACCGTTTTGTACGGCTGCAAAACCATAAAAACCAAAGTCACGTAAAATTTTTGGGCGAGCGAATTAGTAAAAGCCCATTAATAGAGATTAGGCGGAATGACAGGCTGAGCGCGGCCCACTAAGATTAGGGTTTCTGTAAAACCGTTTTGTACGGCTGCAAAACCATAAAAACCAAAATCACGTGAAATTTTTGGGCGAGCGAATTAGTAAGAGCCGCCTTCGGCGGTCGCGCGCTACTGCAAGCGAGACTGCGAGAGGGCTTTGGTTAGAGCAACTCATAGACTTACAATTGTAGATTTACAACCTACCAGGACGCGCGCCGAGTTGGACTCGTCGACCGTCCTGTATGAAACAAATATTTTACGAGTATCACCCGTTAAACTTACAAAGAAAGTGTCCACAAAATTTAAAGCATATCCAACCATCAAACATTATGTTAAGCTAAAAGCAGCGTAATTTGCCCCATTTTCATTACTCTAGACTATATCAACTTCGTTATCCACCAAATTTTTCGGACAGTTAATTGTGAAAGCCCTATTGGAAGGTCTTCAAAAATTTTCAGAATAATCTCATTCAAGGAACAAAAGCAAAAAGATATTATGACAAAATAAAACAACAAAAATCAACGAATTTGTCAAATCACGCGACTTTTACACCTACTTTAACATTTAACTCCAAAAGCCGCGCACCATCAAATATGGCACTTACAACCTAGGCGAAACTCACTGATCATTCCAAAAAGGTATGAAAAATTTAGTACTGTGAAAATTCTCACATTCTCTAGTTAATTGACGATGTCAATTCATGGCAGCTCGGCGCGGCACAGTAGCGCATCTCGCCGATCTAGCATGTCGCTGTGAGAAGCCCTATTGAGTGCGCGGCGCGGCACAGTAACGCATCGCGCTACAAATTCTCTAGAAAACAATTGTATCACGTGGTGACCCGCACTGTCGCTTCACCATTCACTATAGTTGATAGTATCGTCTTCGACGATACAGGGGGAGCCGCGCAGTTCGTGCGCGGCGGGTCATACAACGTATGACAAGAAAACAATGGTTCAGAAATTTTGAAAATCCGAGCATGTTTATTTTTATCGTGCACCCTTGTCATACTTGTCATACGTTGTATGACCCGCCGCGCACGAGTGCGCGGCTCCCCCTGTATCGTGGAAACTATAGTGAAACGACAATGGGGGTCATGACGTGATACGAGTGCACCCTTGACCCTAGTAATAATCCATTTTTTAAAAGTAATTGTTTTAAAGTAATTGTGAAGATAATATAATATAAAAATTGAAAGTATAGATTTGTGCACTTTAACCTTAAATACTTACCATAAAAATCAAAATTAGCATTTACAAATGTACACAGAACGGTACAAATTTAATCACCACCGCCAGTAACGCATCACGCTACAAGCGAGGCAAGTGCTACGAAGTAGCGCGAGCTGGGCTAGTCCACGTCTATTAACAGTGGCAAATGGACAACAATTTCGTGCGCTCTGCTCTCGGATTTAGCATTTTCGTGAACACCGTTCGCACGAACATCTGAACATCTGAATATAGATGATGATATATATAATATAAGATATTACAAATTATTATACATTACAATTACGTATTTGAAATTTGGATACAAAGTGTTATATTGCCTTTTGGGATTGTCTGATATCTATTATATTAGAATTGATTAGATTTAAAAAAAAAAAAAAAAAAAAAAAAAAGGGGGGACCCCCAACCCATGTAGCTGAGACACCTCACAGCAAGTAGACCAAAGTGGCTCTTGCTTGTGAAAGGTGCGTCAACTACCCGCCGAAGCGGTGGGTTGGGAGTCCCCCCTGGGATCATTTCGTCCGTAAAATTATATACAACATAAAATAGTACAGTAAAATATCAAAATTTACATAAACAAATCTAGGAGACCTCAAAGCTCGTCTTCTGGGGGATGAGGTTGAAGGAGATGTCATGCAGTTCAAGATGCTGGGCCGTTGATCTTCCTCTGATTCCTCTTAGTGCAATGAGTGTACTTCTTAACAGATCAAATCTGAATCGTGTTCTGATATGATTTTTGACTTGGCTCTTGGCTTCTTTTTTATGGTCAGCTATCATCTCAGAGACACGATCTACAAATACAGTGCATAGGGGTCCCATACCTCCAGAGGTTGTGAAGACTAGAGGGACACAGGATCCTTTCTCTGACTGAAGTACTCTCTCTTCATACAAATCTTTCTTTTCTTTCTCGTGATCTTTATAGATCTTATCTAGCGTCTTAAATGTGTTTGTGTCACAGTTAGGATGTGTGACCCTAATGTCAAAGAATGTTCTTTCAAAGGGTGCATACAATCCGACAGCTGCAACATCAAGACGGGCTTCATCCTGGGTGTTGGTCTTTCTTGAGAAGGAGCTTGGTTGGACTGACAGGAGTGCTGGTTCTATCCTTACATCTTTACACTTTGCTTATCGGAGGAAGAAAGCAGCAGTATCTCTAATAGCGTTGTGGCGCATGCTAACGTATCCGCCTAGTTTACAGTCAAGGGCGTGGTAGATACTGTTAACATTTCCACAAGCACATTTAGAGGGCACTCCTTGGATCTTCCAACCATACCTTAAGCGTATGCTGTCTTGGAACTCCTGCCTGTTCAGAACATAGTTGAGGTCTTTCAGTGGTAGTGTCGAAAGCCATGTTGAGGCTCCCTTCTCTCTTGCTTGGTCTAAGTGGTTCTTTAGTTGATGATCTGATTCTTTGTGGAGCACCTTGAACCTTTGAGAGAGAAACTCCTCTTTCTGTTTCCTCAGTTCTTCTTTCTTTTCTTTTATCTTGCCCATGTCCAGCTTGGTGATATCCGGGTCTTGTTGGTTGATCAAACTCACATGGTCTTTAGTTACCGCTACTGAGTAAGCATATTCACGGGATGTTATTCTGACAGGATTGATGATGCCTAGCCCGCCACAACGAACAGGAAGTTCGAGGATATCTCTCTCGTGCTGGTTGACTGGACGACCGAGGAGGGCTGGAATGAGCACATGCATGATCTTGCTCTCCAGTGGGGCAAAGTACTCTGCAATGTCAGGTATTGTTCTCATGAAGAACCTCCATCGGTGGCATATTCCTTTGGTGAAGGCTGAATAAGCCAGCTGTGGTTCTTCAGAAGCGATATCAGCAAGTTGTTCAATATCTGTTATCCATTTCTCAACTTTTTCTTTGATGTAATCTTCCCTGTATTTCTTTGATCCTACCACTGCACCAAGGTGACGTTCTCCAGATGTCGTGATCTTAACTCCAAGATGCCCAAATAGTGTCTCTGCTACAGCCTGGTCTTTAGGATTCTTGACAATTAGAATGGTCTTTTTAGCGTTGGGATAATACCCATATCCCGGACCGATGTCACAAAGTCTATTCCACCACTGAAGAAGTTGGATAAAGCTTCCACATGCAGAGCTGTCATCGGCGTACCACACCATGGTTGCTTCTGCATAAGCTCTGAGATCATCTATTATAGGTCTAGTGGCTATGGAGTAAAATTGCATTGCTGCAACGTCTCCTTGAGTGTTTCCTTCTTCA